ATTAAATTTATGTGTTAAAAAAGGAAAAAAAAAATGTGTTAACATAAAACCAGTGTTTCAACAGATAAATCATACAAGCTGTGTAAAAATTTAGAGTAAGAGCAGAACCATAATCATACATTCTGAAAATTTTATAAACTGACAATTCAAGTTATGTGTTTTATGCTAATACACATAGTGGTAGGTTCTAACAAACTGTGATTCACACATAAAGAGTAGAAAAGTTGAAGGTATTATATATGTAATATCTATTTTTCACATGTACATCTTTATATATATGTTATGTACTTATTCTGAGAAAGAGGAAATAGATTCCGAGACTTTCTTAGCAAATTTAAATCAATATAGCTGCCTTTCCATTTTCAGTATTTAAATTAAATTTTTTGCTGCAAGGCACTGCAAGGAACAAAGCAAAGTACCTTAAAAGAAAGTGTTTCCCTAGTAATTTCACCTCATTTCACACCTATTTGGCAGCTTTTCTTAGCCAATTGGTTTCATTGAAAATGCTGACAATGTTCACCCATTAGAATTGTCCGTAAGGTAAGGTGTGCTTTCCTCTTAGATTCACTTTATTAACTTTAAATGTAGAAAATAACTTTTTTTTTCCTTAAGACTACCAACATTCCTCAATATATACTTTTGTCTATCTCCCATTTTTTCACATTGCTTGTTCTACTTTTTTTGAAAAATCTTTACTGAACAATAAACAGCATAAATTATTCAGCCAATTTCAGTCCAGTGGCATAAATCATACTCTAGCAGACATGCTACTTATGACAAATGCTTTGTCTAAGAGAAACATACCACTGAAGGTTTAATCAGAAGCTCTAAACATTTCAGACTTGCTCAATTTTATTCTTGGCAAGAAGCACTGGTTTTTGCTATATCTTCCAAAGCTTTGGGGGAATGTTCATTTTTCCCATGAGAATACTGAGGCCATTTTTACCCACTCCAGGAAAGGGGAGGGTGTTAATAAAAGAGCACTTTCCTCAAGAAAAATTCAAATGGGATTGGCAAAACTTCTTGCTCTTGAAAGCTTGTTTCAGAGGCAGCCTTGGATATTTTAAGTGCTTCCTATATGATGAAGTATTGGGACTTGCATACTGTCCCTTTGGAAAGCATAAACAGCATGTATGAAAACATAACCTTTTATGGGATAAAAGGTTTCTTAAGATTTTATTAGCACAATTTGGAGGATAAGAAAAAGAAAAAAAAAAGATGTTCCCGCCCCCCTGCTCAACTAACAGGCCCCTGTTTTGCTGTGTTGTTTAAATAAGAAATAAGTCCATTAGATGCTTGGGCACAACTACCCTTCATCTGACTTAGAATCATGATTTTATATGGCTGGAGTGTCAAATAACCACGTTGTCCAGAACTAAACCTTGGGTTTAAATATTAAGTGGAAATTTCTATTGGTTTTGAGAAATTCTTAGCTTTGTTCCTAGCTATTCTAAAAATTATTTTTGAAGAATATTTGCTTCAGTGTTAGGATTGCCTTTTTTATGTCGCTGTTGTAGAAGCCTGGAGCCTTGTGGAAAAACCAGTTCATACCCTGCCACATTCCCCAAATTAGTGTCGATATTCTAATATGAGATGTTTCGTTGGGTCCATTCAGTGATCTTATTCTGCAGCTTCAGGCATTATGGTTCTGTCTTACTGACTGCAGTACTTTTGTTTCAGCATCTTCTACAATGTCAGCTGAGGTCCTGGAATAAGGCTCTGCTTACTGGTTGGCTACCTCTTGCATAGCCAAGAAAAACACTGTTGAGTCAAATTTATATAAAACAGCAACCTGAAAAAAATGCTGGGATAACAGAATGGTGGGAAGAGAATTGCAGATAAACTACTGCCATCAGCACAGAGCAGAGCTTGTTCATAGTTGTGTGAACACAACACAAATTATGAATATTTTTCAAGTGAAGAGCAGAACATTTAAAATATATAGGCTCAGGATCTAGCTGACCTTATCCACCAGATTAAAACAGTCTGAAAAGTAACCGTATATAGAGGCAAAATAGCTAACATGTCCTTTTAAAGAAAGGTTATTTTTGTTATTTTTGAGTTCTGGCTGAAATGAAGACAGCTGGATAGAGAAGGACCAGATGCAGAATACCTATGCCAGTTTTTGTTATTTTAGGTCATACTAGTCAGCACCAAATAAAAGAGAACATAAGTATTGATATCCTAAATCAAAGCTGTGGTCCGCTGAGTCTTATAGATGCTTTAGAGTAGAGAAAAAGATGTGCCAGTAGACACAAGGAGCAAATCTGTTACCTCAGCATTACTTCATGCTTCCCAAGAGTAGGTGATTTGCATAAACCTTTGAGTTCAAGATGGTGTATTAATTTAACAAATATCTTTGGATTATATATATTTGGATTGTTAGTAGTCTTGTCTGCATGTACCCATCCAGTCCAATGTGAGTTTTGTGAGATGCTTGCTCTCAGAGATACCATGTGTTGAAGCTCTACATCATCATCACAGGCTCGGCGAGTGTCTTTATTAGTTCACCTTACTAACATCACAGAAAGAAATCCAAAAGTAGCACAAAGCTCCCATTATAAACGTACTGTCAGACACAAAAGACAAAAACACATGCTTCTCTGCTTAAATGACTCTCATTTTATTTAAAATTAACCAAAAAAAAAAGCAAATATGAAATCTAGGGGAGAGGGATGGAAATTCTCTGACACATTTTGCTTCTTGATGAGCGCTGTGGCAGGGTTAGAGCACACCCCTCTCGTGTTAAAGGAGCGTGAAGAGCGTAAGGAAAGCAGAGTGACATCCCCTCTGACTTACTCGCTCGCTCATGCCAAGGCTTCCAGTCCGCGACTTCATTCTGTCACTGTGACCTGTTTTGACCAGACCCTTATCCTTTTCCAGTCCTGTGAAAATCGTTACTAGGGCAAAGTGCTACTCGACGCTTTAAACATGGAAGCAGCTGAGCAAAGAGACAGAAGCCCGGATCCTGCGGTCCCTGCTCTGCAAAACATGCCTTGCACAGACCCGTGTTTGAATTCCAAAAGCGCGAGCAATAACATACATCTCCAGCCAAGCACTGCTCATTCATTTAAATGCAATTTTCCCCTCATCTAAAGAGCCAGCATAGGGAGGAAAATACGAGGATTTGTAACCTGAACATTCTGGAAAATTTTTTCCCTTTGGACCAGCTTGGAAAGCAGGGAGACATTTGTCCTTCTCATACCGCTGTAACTCAATCTCAATTGTAAAGAATTAAGAGCAGGACTTGCTTTTTAAATGTTAGCAATGGATATAAGAATAACCAAGCCGATTGTTGTTGATTGATCCCATACATAAAACTAAAAAGCACAAGGTCCTAAGTGTAAAATAAGAGTCAAAGATTTTTGATATGGCTTTCAGACCTTTTAATAATGTTCAATTACATTTTAATTAATGGCGATCTCAGAGATCACGGTGGTCGCAGTTCAAAAACAACAGCTGTAAAGAAGCCAGAAATTATGTGAAAGGGGTCAATCCTGATTTATTTAGTATATTATGTGTAGACTTTTACTAATAAATAAGGACCAGTAAATGTGAGGTGTTTGAAGTGAAGAAGGCATCACCCAAATTAGAGAGAAACTTTAATAAAGTGACATTTTCTTTTAATATTTTTCATATGTTTTCCTGTTTATTCTCTTCAAATATTTTGGAAATCTGTTCCAAGTAGATGGGTTCACAAAAGTCGAACAACTGTTAATACAAGGAAAGGCCAGGACTTAGAAAGACATAGATACCAAACTATCTATGGAATTAAAATAAATTCAACCAAGGTCACTCCTTTCTCCTGAAAAGGCTTTAAAAAGTCCAAACTAAACCATATTGCCACAAACCATCATGAAATCCACATCAACCCATTCTGTGTAATGAAAACATCCGTTCACAATCTGAGATTCTTTGTAGCTTTCTGTAGAAACATGAAACTGGACATACAAAATGAACTTCTGAGGTGTGTCAGTTTGAGAAGAGCCAGAAGACCACAAGAATGTATTAGTTCTACTTTTCACAAACTTGTTAAAGACTTTCTTCTAATTGTTGACTCATGATTTCATGTAAGAAAATAAATTTTCCTTTTTCTTTCTTTTCTTTTCTTTTCTTTTCTTTTCTTTTCTTTTCTTTTCTTTTCTTTTCTTTTCTTTTCTTTTCTTTTCTTTTCTTTTCTTTTCTTTTCTTTTCTTTTCTTTTCTTTTCTTTTCTTTTCTTTTCTTTTCTTTTCTTTTCTTTTCTTTTCTTTTCTTTTCTTTTCTTTCTTTTCTTTTCTTTTCTTTTCTTTTCTTTTCTTTTCTTTTCTTTTCTTTTCTTTTCTTTTCTTTTCTTTTCTTTCTTTTCTTTTCTTTTCTTTTCTTTTCTTTTCTTTTCTTTTCTTTTCTTTTCTTTTCTTTTCTTTTCTTTTCTTTTCTTTTCTTTTCTTTTCTTTTCTTTTCTTTTCTTTTCTTTTCTTTTCTTTTCTTTTCTTTTCTTTTCTTTTCTTTTCTTTTCTTTTCTTTTCTTTTCTTTTCTTTTCTTTCTTTCTTTCTTTCTTTCTTTCTTTCTTTCTTTCTTTCTTTCTTTCTTTCTTTCTTTCTTTCTTTCTTTCTTTCTTTCTTTCTTTCTTTCTTTCTTTCTTTCTTTCTTTCTTTCTTTCTTTCTTTCTTTCTTTCTTTCTTTCTTTCTTTCTTTCTTTCTTCTTTCTTTCTTTCTTTCTTTCTTTCTTTCTTTCTTTCTTTCTTTCTTTCTTCTTTCTTTCTTCTTTCTTTCTTTCTTTCTTTCTTTCTTTCTTTCTTTCTTTCTTTCTTTCTTTCTTTCTTTCTTTCTTTCTTTCTTTCTTTCTTTCTTTCTTTCTTTCTTTCTTTCTTTCTTTCTTTCTTTCTTTCTTTCTTTCTTTCTTCTTTCTTTCTTTCTTTCTTTCTTTCTTTCTTTCTTTCTTTCTTTCTTTCTTTCTTTCTTTCTTTCTTTCTTTCTTTCTTTCTTTCTTTCTTTCTTTCTTTCTTTCTTTCTTTCTTTCTTTCTTTCTTTCTTTCTTTCTTTCTTTCTTTCTCTTTCTTTTTTTTTTTTTTTATTTCTTCCCCAGGAGCTTGCCTCTGAAGCGAGAAACCTGGGACCTGCTCAGAACAGTGCAATCTGTGAAGAATCGTATTTGAATGTTCTTCTGCAATAGTACATTTTCTAGGGTGACCAAATCCTAATTTTTTTCTAGGTAGCTTTCGCTTTTATTTTCTGTGTTATAAGTGATGACAAAGTTCATTGCAGTAACTAGAAGGGTGCTTTTTCTTACTAATACAGATTTTGTTCTTGCTTCACCTTCCGTTTATATGTTCATAGGCACAATCCATGACAGTCTTTTCACATCAGCAAGCAAATCACTTCTCTTTTCCTTGCAAATCCCACATTTGCCTCATTTTTCAGTGTTTTCTCAATTACAGCACCTCTCATCCCAGTAGATCCTAAAGCACTTGCCAGCTTAACACCCCCTGATGTACAAATGACTGCATTTCTCATAATAGTAGCATGGGGTTTTAACTCACTCTCATAACAACCTTGACAAGGCAACTTTGTTCTTTAGCTAATGTCTTTAATTGGGCACACACTGGTTGTTAGGGTAGGATTAATTGTGAGCATCTGGGCATTTATTTATTTACTGTTTTTTTTTTTTTTTTTTTTTTTTTTTTTTTTTTCCCCCCAACAGAAAGAGTACTGAAGTCTTTGCTATGAGAAAATTCACATAAAGACTTGGCACGTACCTTGAATTCATAAAGGTCTAAGAACCCTTAAAGGGGGATTACATTTCAACAGTGTCTCTTTAAATTTGTGCAAGTTGTGTACATCAGAAAACAGTAGGTTTGTATGATAACTGGACAAATAAGAGTGTGAACCTTCATTCAAATCCATGTGCTTGTGAAAAGAAGGGGAAAAAAAAAAGACAAATGGAATGTACTGTAATAGTTGATGTTAGTTTTATGAAAGGGAATGACAACCCCCTGAAACTGAGGGTTGACCTATTGTCAAAACTATGCCTGACATTACCCTTCTCATTACTGAGTAGAGTCGTCTCTTAAATCTTCTATACTCCTCCAGGTGCCATAGGGTAGGTCTACAGGACAGAAGTTCTATACCAGAAAGGGGAGCCCAGCGAAAGATCCCAGTTTCTGAGCTGTGATCAGCAAATGAGAGCTACATGTACCCGTCCTGTTATATTTTATATTTGTATTCACTGTAGACTCCTATGAATAGACTGGAGTCATCCAGCAAGAATCGATGAATTACAAACACACTGGTATTGTTAATACAGTTGGGTATGAAGAAGTGACCAAAGATAGGAAGCATGAGGGAGTTTTTGGTAAGATTGGTAATCAGGACAACTCATAATCATTGACTGGCAATATATAGAGAGATAAGGAAAGAGCTGTGAGACAAGGAGGACATCAGTGTTGCCTTTTGAATGTTGACAATAGTAATTTAAGCACATTCCCTTTGCAAAGCAGGTAGAGCGGTTGGAGATTCCCAACCTACATGTTAGTAGACCTTTGTTGGAAGATGGCATTCCCTAGAGCACAGAGATGTCTGAATGCTCCTCATTTGCTTCAGTGTGTAGTCAGTGGTGCCAGCTCAAACTCCTCAAAAAGATGAGTTAACTGCATGTATGCTGTAGTGGGTAAGGAATAGTTCATTTGTACTAAAATGGCTGACATATAGAGGGAACTACTAGTTCTCAGCCAACAACAACCACCTAAGTGGAGCAACACCTCTCGCTACTCAAACATCTGTCTGTGCCTTGACTCTGATCAGATGTAAACCATGAAACATTTCACTCCATGTATCCTGCAGAAATAGTCTTAAGTACAACATATGTGTTTTGCAAGGATGCTGATTATTTTGAATTTCTCTGGAGATGTGCTTTATCAATGGTTAGAAGATGTTCCAGCTATGGGTAATAATTAGTCATAAAAAACCAGCAACACTTTCTCATACTGTACCAAAATATTCATGTGCCTTTTGTAAACTTGCTCATATTAGGCACATCATCTGAACCAGGAGTATGGTCTGTAAAAGGTGACAGAAGTCCTGGGGGTAGAAACCCCTGCCAGAACAAAGCTGTAGCTCTTTCAGTAAACACCTTCCTTGGTTCACATCTCCATAGAGAAAGTGGCAGGGAGGACATTGCTTGGTGGGACAAGCTTCAGAAATCCTTACCAATAGGTTCGAAATTCCAGATACAAAACTAATTTCTTTCAAGAATTAGCTGGCTGTCGAAAGTATCAGTGAAGCAAAGCTGATGTGATTGTCCAGAGCATCTGTTCACTAAGTTTAGGTTGTACCTCAGTGCTGAAGAATGGACTGATGTAAAGGTTGGAAACCCCAGGAGTGATTTATATCAACATGCCATAGGCATACACACCTTGCTCTGAAACAATGGACAAAATTACCCTTTTTTTGCGGGTGCTATCTCCTTTTACAACCTGGTGTATCCCACCTTGTTTCTTTCCTAAAAGTCAACATTCAACTATTACAGAAAATTAGCATCTCTCTTTAAAATCCCTTAGCCAAAATATAGACTATTTCAACAGCTATATACATGTAAGTACATTTATTAAAGTAATTAAAAATGCTTGGGCTTAAAAGAACAAAATACTTAAGCTTTCAGGAGATCTAGAGTGGCATTTTGTATGTTTTCCCAAACAAAGGATTTATCATCTTTTATAAAATGTGAGGTTATTTCTCTAGAGGTGGTTTGTCATATGTTGCCTGTATTTTAATACTCATCCACTTTGCATCAGGTGCAATATGCTCTTTTCTGATGAAACTTGGAAGTTTTCGTTTGAAAAATGATGTGTCTTATAGATAGCAGGGACTAAGCAATTTTAGCTATGGCAGAGCAATAAAAAACATTCTTACCATGGATTCACTGAAGGTGCAAGGACAAATATTAGCCTTGCTAGGTCTATTATAGCACTTATTTAAAAAAAGAAGAAAGGAAGGAAATGCATTCATATTTAAATTGTCTCTATGTCTTCATATGATGAAGAAAATTTATAAACCTGAGTGAATAAAAGTTTAGGAGTAGTGTGTTGTTAATGTGTTTAAAAATATTTTTAAAAAACCCATGAAAGTAAATAAGAATTTTCACAAATTCCAGAACTGAAATTCTTGTTCAATTTTAGTAATAAAAATGTATGTACTGTATATGAGTATTTAGGTATGGATTTAGTTTGTTTTGATAATTTGTTAATGATTCAGAAATTAACAATTAATAACACTGATTCTAAATAAATAATGAATATAAAAGACACGCTTTCGTATGTACATTAGGAACATAATTAATTGACTGTATCAAATGTAATGCAGAAAATCTTTCCCTGTCTACAGAAATGATATGAAGGTAAATCCTGTTCATCCTAAGCAAACAAGAAACATACTGGAAAAGGTGGGACTGTTCCAGGAGTAATGCAAAAAGGATTTGGCCCATGCACGTCATTTAGGAATGGGCTGAAACCTGTCTATGAGGGCACAAGAGGCAAATGGGTACACTGAAATATAGATACCCAGTCTACACTTCACATCTCCTTCAGTGCAATGTTGAAATTCTTATTTACTATTTAGTGTGTTTTTTTTTTTTTTTGGGGGGGGGGGGGGGGGGCGGGGGAAAGAATTTAATGACTGTTTTTACATTGAACTAGGGAACCTGACCATCCTGTCTGCAAAAGGAATCCATAAAGTTTATGCGGGCAGGGCCTGTGGGATCGGGATTTCTCAAGTGATAAAATCCTATGGGCCACAGTTTCAGACTTATTTTTGCTAGTCCGGACTCCTAGTTGATCCCACTTTTAGAACTGATGTGCAATATTTAGAGCCTGGCACGGAGCCAGCCGTATCATTAAATCCTCTCTGCTGGCTCTGGCAGAGAGCAGTTCCAGGCTAGGAGCTGTCTTCACGTCAGCACAACTTCTTAAATACCCACAAGATGGAAAAAGGGAAAGTGAATGAATTATTCAGGAGTAAGTTTGGTAATCAAAGACTGAGAGGTTTTATTAAAACAAGAACAAAGCTCTTGCCATCAATTAAAGCACTTCCGTCTTTATGTAAATGCTTAACAAAAGAAATGAAGCTGTTTCTAGTCCTTCCTGCAATGCATGGGGGATTTCGTGATGAGTATGCCGGGCCTTCGGCCCTGTGTGGGTGGACACCCCTGCCCAAACAGGAGCCATCCACTCCCACCCATGGGATCACAAATCTGACTGGATTACTAGTTTGTCACTTCAAACTCAAGTTTGGCACCAGAACAACCACACCCCCCCGAAATTTGGTCCTGCTTCTCCCTTCTTTTAGGGACAATGAACAGAAACAAACATCGTTCTCAAAAGAAAAACAGAACTATTTATCATTAGGACACTAATTCTGATATCTTCTCTTGCTCAGTGCTTATTTTCTTAGTGTGAATTAAGACCATTACATTAAATTGGATGTATTTTACATTTTTAGGGGAAAAATCATAAGATATTGTTTATTTGCATGAGCTTTCTATGCATATGTGCTTGAGAATATAAGAAATAATGGGCTAGTTTATCACTATACGTATGAACTTCACAGACTGAACTGAATTATTGGTTTCTGAAGGAAATAATATTATCAGGTCACCATAATGCTAAGCAGTATTACATTTTAGTAGATAATTTCTGAAAAGTGCTTACTTTTGAAAAAAATAAAAACTTGAAAAAAAAAATATCCTGGCAACACTGCTGACTGAAAAAAAATATTTATATTTATATTAAACCCCTCAGCTAGATTCTTAGACACATCACTGCTTAAAATGCAGTCACCTGACAAAAACAGTTCTAATTATTACCCCCTTGGGCTAACATTTTTCAGAGTGACTGGCTAAAATGCACTCCAGCTCATAATTTCTATCTCTGACAGTGGAAGACATAACCTAGTTTCCTCTAATGCAAAAGTCTCTAATCTAGAGGGCAAGACCCTGTTCCGTATAACACTGAAGGAGAAAATGCAATTTGAGCACAAGGAAATTGCACACATAGTTTGATAGTTCTACCATTCTCATTTTTTTTCCCCAGGATTAAATGTCTTGTTTTATTTTATGCTAAATTATGACCTGGCTCGGACTTGTATATATTCTTCGTCATATTCTGGAAATTTTATACTGTAAAAACAAAGGGATATAGAAATGCAGTCTAACTTCCTTATTCGCATTTTAGCCATTAAAAATTCCAGATTTCCGTATAGGGGGTAAAGATAATTTTTTCTTAAGCGATAGTTTTTGCTTTGGCATATGGCACTTGCAAACAATAAGCTTCATTCACCTCTGGGTTAATCCAGTTGTGTATCAGCACAGCGTGATTGATTTCATATTGGTGTAATGCAGTAGTGAATCAGGTTCCAAGGTTTGAAAACAGAGCTCTACATTAACATCTACATTTGTATACTGAAACACTGGGGAACAGATTTTCAGATGGGCTTCATCCCAACATCATTTCCTTGCAGCACATTTTTCACCACCAGAAATAAAAAAAAAGTGTCCATAATTTTGTGCTCATGAACACCACAGGGAACAAAAATTAGAAAGTCTCTTGGATAGCGAACTGCCTGAATTATACATGCACCTGCCTGAATTATACATGCAATTGAGTAGTTAGATGCTTAACTACTAATATTTGCAGTAGAGGGTACCTGCCAAAACCCAGGCCTCGATGTGCAAGCTCAACTGCTAACAGCCTCTCAGCTGAGCCGAGCAGATTTACTGGGGTGCACAGAGGGGGCTGCCTCGCTCCAATTAGCACCACCCAAATGGTACAGCCTTCCCTCCCCCTTGACATCAGGGACGATTCTGCATCTGCCCCCGGCTGAGCCTGACCAGAAGGATTCCTGGCAATGCTGGGAGAAATGAATTAACTATTTTTTTTTTTTTTTTTTTGGTTCAGTTCACGTAGGCAGTGGCTGAATAATAAATTGACCTCAATCTGATAAAGCCAAAAATGCTGAAAGACTTTCAAAAAAGTGAGTCAGGGATCCTGGAAAAGATGCTTTTTGAAATGGGGTTTTATTAACAATTTTTATTTCTCCCAGTCTAAGAACCACCCTTTCCTTTGTAGCTTGACAGCTGCTGCTTAACACCTTTTTTTCCAGCTGGCAAGGCAGCTGGGTGAGCACGTTTGTGGTTAGTACCGGTACATTGCCTTTGTGAGCAGTGGGGGCACCCGTTCCCTCTTGAAAATGCGTGTCACCCTCACATCTCATACATCTTCCATCACTTTGAGGCGTATCTAGAAATATTGGTAGCAAAAGTACAGTCCAAATAAAGGAAAATTAAAGCCATCTTCTGTTAAAACTCTAATTTCTGCAAAGTTTATATTTAAAACTCTCTCCATAGACTTGTGCACTTACTCAACTAGGAAAAGGAAATTCATTACTACACTTGCTTCTTTCAGTTGGACCCTATTTTTTTTTTTTTTAAATACCAATGCTTGGCAGAGTTTTCAATGAATTATAGTACTTTGTGCTGGAAAGTCAGTGCTGGATGAATGGTCTCCTTTGCCTTTTTTTAAGGACAGAGAATGAGAGAACGTGAGCAGTGCAAACAGGGGCCTGAGGACATAATCACCAGAAAACCTAAATCTATGAAAATCACTTGGGTTCAGTCTCTGGGCAGAGAGCTTTTTTTTTTTTTTTTTTGTATGCATTCTTGTCTCCATACACACATCTGTTTGCAGGATCTCAGCCCACACTTACAGGGAAGATCACAGTATTTTCTAGCATCCACCCTTCAGGCTGAAATTGCAAAGGGAACAACATCTCTGGAGGACGAGCTTGGTTGGCTGGCTAGGACGTCATAGGATATGGTACGTGGTACAGGAGCTACTGCATGGGGCCATAAAATGTAAGATACTTGGCGGGTAGATTCTTGTTTAAATTAGTTTACCCTTTGCAATCAGAACAGACAGCAGAGATGTTGAGTATTGAAGTGTAAGCCTGGGTTTAGCTGAGCTGTGCAATCCCAGTAAAATGCCATCTCCCCAGATATTACACATTATTAGAAGGTTTCCTTGTATTTGTGTAGTTAGTGAGGCAAGCAGGGAGATATAAAGCAAACTATTTATTTGCTACTGTCAAGTATCACACTATTAGCAATTAATCTCTAAATTACCTTGTTTTCTACATTTTTTTTTTCTGCCTGTGAGGACTTGAGCTCATAAAACATCAGCAGAATCTTAAGGGATTTCCAAGAAAACTTCTATTCTGAAGCAGCCCTGTCAATATTAAACACATCTTATATTACCTCAGTCAGGCATATCAGCCGTCCTTACTCCTGGCTGCGGTGGACCACCTGCAAAGGGCAAATAGTTGTAGAAGTCACCCTGAACCATCAGTCCTCAGGCATCCTGCTCAGACTGCTGCTTGTCAGCTTGCCCAGGGGCAGGAGAAGCCCAGCTCCTCTTCGATGCTGTAGGAAACACATGATTAATAGCTTTTAGCTAGTCCGGGTGAGTGAGGTTATAGTCAATGAGAAAGGCTTAACACCCATTCAGCAAGACAGCTGTCCTCTGGTAGCTGGGTTTTATAAAGGTCCATCCTTTGATATAGATTAACTGATGGCTGGCCCTTCAATGTGGCACAGTGTAAATACTGAAAGATCCTTTATACCACTGGCATTTAAATTCAGACTGACAAATGAGCCATAACTACTACCTGAGGGATTAATACTACAACAGCTCTTATGCAGCTGATAAATTGGTGAGGCAAGAGCTTCTTATGGGCAGGCCATGCAAGTACCCTCTGCTGAAACCTACATTCTAAGAAGGAAAGGACTGAAACACATCCGAATTCCTGGGTAGAGCCACCCAGGACCAGCTGGGCTCATCAGATTGACCACCAGCATTATCAGGGCTGAAGAAAATGTGGAGGGGACCCCAGAGGCCAAGGTGAAGGGACGGGGTGGACAGGGAGTGGATATTGACATGGAAAACATTCCCAAGAGAGACACTGCTGTTAAAAGGCTAGAAACCGTGGTCCCCAGTCCCTGACTGATGGGGTTTTATTTTCTATCTTTCGTAAGTCAGTAATAATGTTAGCTCTGCAAGAAGGCCAACAGTTTGGACACTATCTCAGCCTGTCCAAGCTTCTTCACCTTTTATCCAATCTTCTATTGTCTTCTGCCAGCTTTTGTCCTGGGGAACATCACTATCCCCTCATCATCACCACCAGCTGATTCATATTTTGAATATAAAACCAAGGTTTGTGGGTCTATCCTTCTTGTAATGAAAAAATGATTGCTCTCCCAGCTAAAACCACTTCTAGAAAATTTTATTTAGTGCATCATGTCTTTGTACTACACTAGGAAACTCGAAACCTAATGACAAAATGAAAGAAAATGCTTTTCTACTTAATCTCAAAGCTAGAAAGAATTAGGATATTCTTGCATGGAGAACAGAAGATATTAGTAATTCATACTGGGAGAAACAATAAACTAATTGTTACTTCACTAGGAGGGTTTGTTGAAAGTGTCTGTAGCCTGTATCCCAAGCCTTCTGTACAGGTAGCAAGAGTAGAAAATAGCCCTAATCCTGTTACAAAAATTGTCAGGAAAGTCCACAAGGCTGGAAAAGGATTTTATTCTCTGTGCACCAGTAATTCTGTAATGCAAAACATGGTATGGGACACATCAAGAAATGCACGTAAAGAGTAAGAGATCTGTCATCAGCCAACTTGATGCTTACTGGGATTTCTGGTGTTGCTTGGAAAGGACAGTGAATGACATTTGATTCTTCTTGAGATGAACCTGCTCCCTCAGATGTGAGCCTGTGTGATTCTCACCTTCTGACTCCACAATGTTTCAGCACTCTTGTGCACTTTGGTGGGGTCACAGACTCGTGACTTCCTCGTCCCAACACTGTGGGAGGTGGTGTTGCTCTTCCCGATGACCTGCTACTTGAAGCCTGACACTCCTCTGACATGAGGTTGTCTCCTTCATGAAGGAGGACAGCTGAACATTCCAGATCTAAACTCCGTGTAAATAATTTGTTAGGAAAAGAAAGATCTTGGCAAATATCCATTACTTTTATAAGAAAGAAGCATATTTCTCAGGGATAATGAAAAAAACTCACTCCTTTTAATTTTTATGAGGCCTATGTAGACCAGAAAGAAAGAAACCTCTATAATAATTTGGCCTACAAGTGGTTTGATAGAGTAATTGGGGTGAGGGAGTGTTTTTGAGCCAAGCCTTAATGATATGCTGTTAAATGATTGCAGAGGGGAGAAGTGGGAAAAGGAGAATCTGCTGAAGTCAGTGGGAGATCTGTAGTTCACTTCACCAAAGCCAGGATTTCATCCCAAGTCTGCTGTTGACAATGATGTTCATGAACATCTAAAAACATTATAGTATTTCGTCATTATTTAGCTGGGAACTGAGTATGTCTGTGCGTTGGGAGTAATTCACTATATCACCTAAACAACTTAATCATCTAGACTTTTCATGTGCACTGGCAAGAAGCAGACCCAGACATTTGAAAAGGAAAACCAATCTAAATACATTTGAACACCTACTAGAGGATACAAAATCCCTGTTTTTTCCTAGGGAATTCTTCATTTCAGCTGCACTGTTTTTGAACCGTAACCCTGGCTTACTAATTTTCAGCCTGCTACATAATGAAGTTCACTGTTACAAATTTTCATATTCAAGAGTAGAAAACTGTAAGGAACTGAAAAATGAAAGCAGTAACAGTTTATAGGCACAGTACTGTAAAATTATCATATTTCTGCAGTAGAGTTACTGATTTGATTGCCCTTCTTTTAACCACTTATCTGCTTTCCTTAAATATAAATTACATGCATGTAGAAAAAAAACGCCATGTATGTTTCATTTAGGTATTTGCCATCCACATTCACATGATGGAACTGGAAAGATCCAGGAGAACACATGCACAAACGCATTAAGCCCAGCTCCTTCCAAAAGCATGCAGAAACAAAACAAAGAGAAGGCCCATGCCTAGTTAAGAAGAGTATGCTATAAACTTTTACTCACCTACGTAATCCTTATTTAGGAGTGCAGTGCAAATGGCTTTATAACATGACACTTAGCTGGATATTTATATTTCATGCTCACTTCCATACAGACCACGTGAAACACTTCGAAGTGGTGTCACAAAGAAATCTCACGGGCTGCAATTTTTTTGAGCAGTCCAAACATCCCTGTTAAACAAACCCAAACAGGATTCAGAAAGTGCAGGATTCCAACACTTTCCCCCCAAGATCAGAGGACCGCTGTGCATTCTCGTTCAATTTAAACAAAGTGAACGGCAGTTAGTATACCCTCCCCTAATGGGCACCCCCACTGGGGACATTGTTCGAGCACCACCACGGACACGTCCCCAGTGCAGCTGGATATGTAAACAAGGACATAATCCGCCTGAAAGAACACTCACAGTTTGGCAGAGCTCGCCGTGTTGTTAACATATTGTGCCAAAGCAATAACAAAGCCATAATTTTAAAGTTTATTTGCAGGCTCTTATTAATCAAGAAATTTTCCAGAAATTACTTCTAAAGGAAGGACCTTCCAGAAAGACACCATTTGGGGAGGAAGGTTTCCAGATGACTTTTTTACTTATCTGTAGTCTGTTCCTCAGAATAAATCACAATTTGGTCCAAGTTAAATTGAGACAGAAAACACATTGCTGTCATACAATGTAAGGGAGTCTTCTGGGTTTTTTATTTTGAACTCTCTCCATTTCTTGCAAGGCCAGTCAGGCTTTGGGTTGCAGTTGCTCACTAGACTGGAGATAGTCAACGCATTGTACCTTGGCTTACTAGCAACAAATTCAAAACATTAACAGTTATAAATTCAGTATAATCATCCTGAGCATGCACAAGCCAGTATTTCCAAATTAGGTACTCCAAGGAGAGAAAGTATGCTTAGCAATTGTTTTTATTTCATTAGTTGATATTGCAGGTTTTTGAACTTTTCCTGGAATTTTAGGGACAGTCATAAAAATGGCGGAATAATGTGACAGGAAAAGATGTCATTTGAAATAAGGTTTCTGTGAGCCTTCAGTCTGACAGAATCGATGGTTTGGGGTAAAAATGTACCCAGAGGTATACACTGACAAGATTTGTTATGGACATGACTAATCAGTAATAAATTCTAAACCTGTTTTTAAAAAAAGATCTTAGAAATTAAGGAGAAAGCTGTTGTGGATGTATTTCTTAAGAAAGAAAACCAGAACAGAACAGGAAAAATGATAGCTGGTTAACTTTTCCATTGAAAGCCTTTATTATAAAGCAGTATCTGTAGTACTTACACTGAAAAGGCCACTTTTTTAAATAGTCAAGTAGTGTAAGAAGAATTTTTTGTTGTTGTGTTTTTTGTTTTTTTTTTTTTTTTTTTTTTTTTTTAAGTTGCGCCATGTGTTCAATGTATTTTGGTGGCTCCAAAAGGAATTATGTACACAGCACATATACGTCTACATGTGCTATCTGTGTACAACTCTACCAAAAAAATCACGAGTAGCCCTGTTTTCATGGGTAAACCTTTGGGCATTTTCAACGCTGATGCACTGGATGGTGGTACAGCCATTTCACCAGGATACTGGTATCTCTGGATGTTGTGGATAAAATGTTACTGTGCATGCACAAAATAGATGTGTATGCACAGTAAAAGCTCCTTATACTCTTTGCTGACCGTAGGCCATTGGTTTGTCCCATCCCATGCTGAATTTACCACACGTGTTTGGTTCAGCTGAGAGTGTTTGGCAGATCCTATGTCTCCGTTGTTCTGCACATGTGCAAGCCAGCTGCAACAGGTCAATTTATCACTTTGATACCTGTTGAGCTCAACAGGTCTGTGTTTAAGCTGTTTTTCAACCAAAATGTAACAGAAACCCCATATCTGCCCTCTCAACCTAATCGGGACTATGAATTATGAATTGATCTTAAAAAAAGTGTGTTTTTATCTAGCTTGCCCTGACTTTCTTTGCTGGAGCAGCTGAGGTCCTACAAACACTGATGCATATTTAGCATACCACTCCTTTTTGTATAGCTCTGTGCTATGGAAAAGATTCCTGCACAAGGTGTCATTTGCTTTAAAAGCCTCTTAGGCCTCAAAAGCTGCAGTTGTTGACTACTTTGATATTTTCAGAGGAAAGTTCAAAACCACTACAGCCCATGCTTTTAGACCTGTCGAGGAAGGGCTCTCAACCTTACTGCCTGTGGTCAGGCGAAGTAAAACCAGAGCAGAGCTTTTAATTACTCAGATGTGGTACTTTCACTTTTATCTGTGTGCTGAGGTGTATACCATAGTTGGGACTGATGAGCCTCAAGCTAAGTATATAGATAGGATTGATTTTTGTAACTGTCATACCTGTGATCTGGCTGGCTGCCAACTGACCTTCTTTGTTCTGGTTCAAACCCAAAGAGCCAGGGACAAGAATTCTCTTTTGTCTGGGATTCTTACTGCGTTTTTGAGATCTATGGATTAAAAATATTGTTATCACTGACCCCAAAACATAGATGTCCTTATGTCATAGCCATTTTCATTCTGTGATGACCATGAGAGATTTATTATAGAATATGTGCTATGACAGATGTCCTTTATGTGATATTCAGCTGGAGAAGTGGCATTGGCTTCATACCAATTACAAACACCTCTGTCATTTCAGATGCTACTATTTTGAGCCCTCAGTTCAATAATAATAATTTATTATAACATTTATTATATTAAAAATTACTAATGTTATAATTTTAAACCAAAGAGCTCATTATTTTTAGTATCACTGACAGTTTTTTCCCGTTTTCTTGTCTGGTCATGGTTCCTCATCTACTGCATAAAGTCACCTTCATAACATCACTTAGATATAAACTAATAAAGCTGAGTGAATCTGCCGATAGCCTGAAACAATGGGCTTTAATGGTGTGAAATACCCTGTATATGGTAAACAACTCCTAACACAACATTATCATTACTATTTATTTATCTCAATGCTGAAAAATACTTCTGTGTTGGACAAAGAATGAAAAACAATGGCTCAGCTGTTAGTGACATCTCAGTTTGGATCAGCAACTTGAGAGAAGATGAGCCATGAGTGAAGCCTAGGAGAGAACAAATACTCTTTCCTTCTGCTTACTGCATCTACCCGTGAGCCTAGGCCAGGGACTCTGCATCCCTGCATCAGCCACAGTGACCCTCCTCTACTTTGGAGTTGGCAAACATGAGGTCATGAAGATAAATGGGGAAGAAAAGCAAAAAAAGAAAAGAAATGAGGGAGAAAATGTATGTTTCAGAGGTCTATGTTTTAATGCCTTCCAACTGGAAAAGCCAGAACTTAGTAAAAAAGCAGAAAGATTTAAGTTCAAAATGTGCCTTTTTCTTTCTGACCCCCCCCCCCCCTTGAAAATAACTGGTGACCTCTGAATTTATACTTTTTATCACCATGTAATACAGAAGCCAAAGGAAAGCAGAGCCCCAATTTCTACAGCTATGTTTCTTCACCACTGTCAGTTCTTGATGCCTCAGATAAGGATTGCGGTCTGCCTGTTTTGGATCTCTGAAGTGAAATACTTGCAGATGCTACATATAAGACTGCATATTAAGTGAATATGTGTATGTTCTTTTTTGCAAAAATTGCTTGCCAGGAACAAGGATTTAAAACCTGTCTTTCTGTTTTCTGTAAAAGCAGTGGATGGGTCACACATAAACATTAGAAATATACCAAATTTCTGAAATAACAGATGCCTTTTATTGAGATTTCCTTTATGTTAGTACCACAGAAGTGAAACGGTTAAATAATTTTGCCTTCTGTTGAAACAATATATAACCTCTTCGTTATTATGCATAGCTTTCATGCATACTATTTGAAGATATAGTGATTTATCCAGCTGGTTTCTTATATAATCTTGAGGTATAAATTTATATAGTGGGAGTTTTAGTGTATTTATGATGCATAGTAAATTGTATTTAAAAAGTAACTTGTGCAATATATTATACAGTCTTGCTTTAGACTGTTCACTCAACACATACACAGAAGTTTAAGAACTGATCCAGATTTTCTGTTCTGAACTTCAAAAATGAGTGGAAACATAAGACATTGCAAAAATCCCTAATTTCCTCTACTGAGTACTTATGTTGTGAAACATTTTCACTCTATATGCAGAAAAGACTTTTTGGGGCCATACTAGCTGAAATCAGTGCTAAAGTCTGATAATGTCTACACAATGATTATGTGTGAGAAAGTGAATAGAACAGAAGAACTTGGTTTCTGTGTATGAAAACCAAAGGACTGCTAATCTAAGTGCATGATTATTTACTGAATTGACCAACTCAACTCTTTCTCTCAAATTCCCTGAAAAAGCCTTGCATGTGTTTTGGTATCTTCTGGTGCAATAGTGGCCAATTTCTAGATGACCTACATTTTTGTAAGTACTACTTTAGAAAATTATATGGTTTTACAGCAGCTGAATTAATTTAAAAAACATTTTTACCGTAGCTTGCACATACCATTCCTCTGTATGGTCCAAATCTGAAAAAGCCTCTGGAGTACCATTTTATACACAAGTGACATCCCCAAAATCACTAAAGACTTCCAAGTGTATAAACACCTACATTTGGGCCATATGTAAAGCTCACAGATACTTAGCTCCACAGATGCTTAAAGCTTTGGTTCAAGCTGAAGCCCCAGGTGGGAGTCTTAACTGAGGTATTCCCTTTTCTGCCTTGTGAAGAGAGACAAAAAAAAAAAAAAAAGAAAAGAAACATTGATTACCCCAGTGATAAACTACCTGCAGTTTTGAGAATGAACAATCAAATTCCACCTGGTGAGACAATTTTGTTACACTAATGATTTTGTTATGTATTAATAACAGAACACTCATATAATGCAGAAGTATTGAAACCTGTCATCCATAGGATCTTGATTATATGCATGGAATTTACCAAAGGCAAAAAGATTGAAGGTAAGGATTTGCCATACTGCCTAGAAGCATCAGAGCCTATATCCTACTCTCGCAACAGCCAATCTCTTTGAAACTAGCAAGGCTTCACAGTGTCATCTAGAACAGAACATGGTCCACAAAACAAAGCAGAATTCAGTCTTAAATTATCCACATTTCCCAGCTAATGACTTATCTAACAAATTTCAGTAATAGATGCTAGAAAAAGGGAGAAATGAGCCAGGACTTCACATTTAAATTCAAGATATAAAGATACTGAGTCAGCAAAAGTGTTGTTATTAAACTGCTGGAATGTCATATTTGTCATACTGATGGAGAAAGCTTGCTGGTATGTTGAGAAAACCTTACTTGTATTTGACTAG